CTAAACAAGGACAGTAGCCTTATACTAACTACAAAGCTTCTTATAATAGCTAAAAAGATTAATACTAGCCCGACTAGAAAAATGACCCCTAAGCTCATTATAGAAATTCATAATATACCCGCATACGGCTACTAAAGAGTCACTAAAATATAAAAACGGATTCGCCAGTATTATGACAAATCCGCTATACGTACTAAGATTATAGAAGTAATTAAGGACTATACGATCTGTAAAAAAACAAAAATAGCCCGTATAAACTATACGGCAAGCTATAACTATTATAACTACTAACGGAAGTATAGTAATCAATCTTATAGGACTTTATTATTAAATTACTAAAGTCTAAAGAACTACTTATAAATATATAGTACGATAGTATCTTAGTTATAGTCGACCGACTTACTAAATTCGCCTACTTTATACCCTATAAAAAAGCCAGTAGTGTTAAGGAATTAGTATATACGTTCCTTAAAAACGTTATTACTAATTACGGTACGCCAAAAAAAGTAATTTCTAATAGAAGCTCTTTATTTATTTTAAAGTTTTAAAGATCCCTAATCTTATAACTTAGTATAGATCATAAACTATTAACCGCCTTCTATCCGCAAACCGATAATTAGATAAAAAGAATTAACTAGATTCTCGAAATATACCTCCGTTATTATATAAACTATAATCAGAATAATTAAGTAGTACTATTACTAATAGCCTAATTTGCATATAATAGTATAGTTAGTATTTTAAAAACTTTAGGATGCTAAACTATATGCCGAACTTATTAAATACGAGTTTTATATATAGAAAGTGGATTTCTTTAGATATATTATTATGTTAGGATAAATTTATATATAAGCCTTAAAGGTAGAAGCCGTTAAGGACTGGCCTATATTATAGAACGTTAAGGATGTATAAGGATTTTTAGGATTTGTTAATTTCTATTGACGATTCTTTAAAGACTATATTAATATTATTAAACCCCTTAACAACTTAATACGGAAGGATAACCTATTTATTTAGGACTTTAAGTGTAAAGAGGCGTTTATTAAAGTTAAAAATATAGTTGTCTCCGAATTAATAATTATAATCCCGGACCCTTAAAAACCTTTTAAAATCGAGACCGACGCTTCGGACTTCGCTATAAGAGCTATCCTAAAATAACAAAACGAATAAAGAAAACTTTACCTATGCTACTTCTACTCTAAATTATTTTATAAAGTAGAGCTAAACTAGTAAATATACAATAAAGAATTAATGGCTATTATCGAAGTATTTTGAGAATGGAGGCCATAATTATCCAGAACTAAATATAAAGTTATAGTCTATATAGACTATAAAAATCTTATAAACTTTACGACGAATAAGAACCTAAATAAGTAATAAGTTAAATAGAGCGAATTCCTATCGGAATATAATTTCCGAATTATTTATTAAAAAGGTTTAAAAAATAGTAAAATAGACGCTCTTAGTAGAAAACCTAATTACGAAGTTACGGTCCCTAAGGAAATATAAGTTATTTTTAAATAAGAAAAGGACGGTAGCTTTGTATTAACTATGAAGCTTCTTATACTAGCTAGAAAGATTAATATTAGCCCGACTAGAAAAATAACCCCTAAGCTCATTATAGAAATTTATAGTGTACCCGTATATAGCCACTAAGGAGTTATTAAAATATAAAAACGGATTTAATAACACTATAATAAATCCGCTATACGCACTAAAGTCGTAAACGTAATTAAGGATTGTGCGATTTATAAAAAAAATAAAAATAGCCCATATAAGCTTTATAGCAAGCTATAACTATTATAACTACCTACGAAAGTATAGTAATCGATTATATAGAACTTTATCGTTAAATTACTAAAGTCTAAAGAACTACTTACGAATATATAGTACGATAGTATCTTAGTTATAGTCGACCGACTTACTAAGTTTGCCTATTTTATACCCTATAAAGAATCTAGTAGTGTAGAGGAATTAGTATATACGTTCTTTAAAAACGTTATTGCTAACTACGGTAGGCCGAAAGAGATTATTTCTAATAGGGGCTCTTTATTTACTTTAAAGTTTTAGAGATCTCTAATTTCGTAACTTGGTATAGATTATAAACTATTAACCTCTTTCTACCTATAAACCGATAGTTAAATAGAAAGAATTAATTAGATTCTTAAAACATATCTCCGTTATGATATGAACTACGATTAGAACAATTAGGTAACATTATTACTAATAGCCTAATTTATATACAATAGTGTAATTAGCGAAAGTATAAAAAAATCTCCGTTCTACCTAAATTACGGATTCTAGCTAATAGTATATAGAGAAGTATGATAAGGACTACAAGCTGTAAAAGTAGTAATAAATATAGCGAAACTTAAAAAAATCCAAGAAAAAGCATTTTTAGATCTCGAGTTTATACGCTAACGTATAAAGAAAAATGTAGATAAATTAAGGATTAAAGGACCAACCTTAAAAAAGGGAGATAGTACCTATCTTCTTTACCGTAATATTAAAACGAAACGACTAAACGACAAATTAGACTATAAAAAACTTAGACCTTTCGAAATTATTCAAAAAGTCTTAAATATTAATTATAGATTAAGACTCCTAGATATAATAAAGTGTCATCTAGTCTTTTACATTTTACTTCTCGAACCAATACTAAAGGGTTCATATATAGAAAACTATATTATTATAGAACTAAACGAACTAAAATATAAAATCGAACAAATTATTGACTATAGGGTTAAGAACGAAATACGAGAATTCCTAATTAAATGGAAAAACTATAGATATAAAGAAAATATATAGGAACTTATTATAAACCTTTAGAACTCTTAATAACTTTTTAAAGAATACCGAAATTAAAATCAAACCTAGAACTCCCAGCTATTATAGTATCCTAATCGACAACTCTAAAAGCACCGTTAGCTTATACCTTACGGGCCGTAAATAAAGCCTCTTTAACCTCTTTAAGAAACTTATTTAATATAATACGACTCTTTTTAAATACTATTTGCTTTTAAATACGGAGATACTCTAGTTTAGATAACGACTTATTTAACTCCGCCTAAGCTTTTTAATAAGCCTTAGCTTTTTTTTGTAACTCTATAGCTCTCTTTTAAAAACGCGACTCCTTTACCTATTCCTTATAGTCTAACCGATCGGATTCTACTACTAAGTAATTAACTATGCCCGATTAGCCTAAAACTATTAAATAAAATTATAAATACCTACGAATATAAATAATATCGGCTAAAGTATCGTACGATATATTTAAACGATAGTATATTCCATAGACGTCGGAATTAAGAAAAACTAGATACTGAATACCCCGTAAACGATAATTTAAATAAAGCATTATTTCTATACCTTTATTAGAAAAACAAATAATACATAATAGCTTACAACGAGATATGGCTATTTGAGATTTCGATTTTTTAATTTAACCTAATATCGTATTAGTATATTTTAATAAACAAACTTGACGATTCCTTAACCTAGGAATAAACGACCTATTTATAGGCCTAGAGGACTAGATCTTTAAAAGGAAGAGCTAATATTATAACCTAATATATATTACGAAACTAGGGCCTTACCCTATAAGACCTACGGCGGCTATTATACTATATATATAGGAGTACGAACTTAAGGTAACTCCTCCTGGGATAGAAGAATTATAGATAAGTTACGTAACCACGATTATACAATAAGATAAAGAACGGATATTTATAGATAAGTAGGACGGACGATTATAAATAAGTAGGACGGATGACCGTCTGGTGAACTATTGGATAATTATAAATAGAGATATTATAAAGGATATATTTAGGAACGAGATTTATATATAGGATAGATTTAAGCCGGGCTTAAGGATAGACTTTCTATAGCTTTTTTAGTAATTAATTTAGTATTAGATCTTATGATTATTTTTAACTATCTTTACTAAGAACCTTTTAATAAGATTATGATTGATTACCGAAGCCTTACTTACCTTACGACTTATAGATATAGCTTTAAGGAAGCTATCTACGATTATGATATACTGTTTATTTAGTATCGCAGCCTTAACTTCTATAAATATACTCACTACGACTAGCTGGCCGTAACACTTTTATAGGGTAGTTATAGTAAATAATATTAATTTTAATTAATTTAGTTTTAGATTTTCTTTTTATTAGGCAACCTTATATTTAATTAAATATATTAAATATAGGGCCTTACGATATTTAATTATTTAATATATTAAAATTCCTGTATTAAACTGTTTATTTAACTTATTTATTTGATTGATTTGAATGGGTATGTGCGCTGTTGTATCCCATTTATTGGAGGCCTACTCTAGCTAATATAAAAGTTCTTTATGTGATTTGGTTGCAGGTATTCCGAAGGACGATGAGGGGCACCTCAAGGTGTATTAATCAGATTATTCTTATGCGAATGTACAAATAGATTCTGTTCAAAACCTCGATCCAGTCTACTTTGCTCATTAGAACATGTACCCTATCTTCGTGGCCATGGGGATAAGTAAGCAAAATAACAAGGGACATTCACAGTTGAATGCGGATTGTGAAAACAACGGTCATGCCTTCATCACAAATGTTTCTCGCAGTTAAGTATCCTGTACAACATCATTTGGCCGGCCTTAAGTCATCATACCCAGCACAGACCTAAGAATCAAACTTTCTCAAAGTTCGTCCTCTTCATGGGCACCCCAGCTTCCCGGAGTTGACATCTAATCTAGTGCTCGTTGTGAGAGAATGGTGTGATCTGCGCATTGTCGTGTTGTCTCCGCTCCCGCTCACAGCTTCCGACCCGGGACTAGAGGCTCAAGCTTGGCGCCGTGGAGCTTGCAGGACAAACGTAAGGTAGTTGGTACACGTAGGAATGCTTTCTTTGTCGTGATATGTAATACTGCTTGCCATGGACGACTGTCGACATACCTACTTCCCCTCACCGGTTTTAGGCACACTGCTGATTTGGTCAACTTGAACATGTTGAGCTCTTTGATGACAGTCTAATGCTTCACTTTACGTGAACAAGCTCGAATTTACCTCCGATGACTCAACTCATTCCATGGGATCGTGTTGCACTACAAAGCAGCAGAGCTTGCACGCGTTCTATCTGAAGGAAAGGACTTGTTTAGCAGGTTCTTACTTGAACCCTGGACTGATGTCTGGAGCCAGCCTTCTGAGTTTGAGGCTCAGTACCTTATGCTCTGCTTCACCTTGGCGACGAGATGTCTGTCATCATGAGTCTTTGCTGGCTGAAACTATCTCTGCAGTGATTAGGTTTGATTGTAATTCGATGCAAGGCAAGTCAAGGTGAGACTGAATGAAAGCTGTGAGAGCCTATATGTATTCAAATTTTCGAATCCTGTTCAACATTTTTCTGACAAAAGACTACGTACTTAAAAGATAAAGTTCGCAGCAACACCCTTGACCAAATTCTGAGCAAGAAGCTTGTGGATAGCCAAACCGGCGTGGTAATTGTCGGCCCAGATGCAATCGCTGGAGCCGTAGCAGGTAGCATCCTTGGCGCCGTATTGCGCAAAGTTCTCGACAACGGTGTCAAAGGAAGGCTTGGTGTCAAAGACAAGACCCTTGACGCCGCTGTTGGCGGACTTGAAGGTAGCGAGGCGGGTCTCGAGGGCGTCGTTGTACGAGGTGATATCGGAGCGCAGGCGGGCAAGGTCGGTCTCGGACTGGCCGATCATGGCGGGAATCTGGTCAGAGAAGGCTAGTAGAGAGATGTTAGGATTAAATGCACATCAGAAGTCTATGGCCTCGGGGAATAACATACGAGGCACAGAGAGCAGGACAAAGTTCTTCAGACCATCATCGGCGAGAGTCTGAAGGAGCTCAAAGTAGCGGTCCATAATGTTGGTGACGGGTGCAGACACCTTATCCCAGAACGGCTCGCCGACATCATTAATGCCGATCCAGACGGCGACGAGAGCGTTGTCCTTGTTGACGACGCTAGACACGTACTGCTTGTATTGGTCGACCTGGTCGTCGACGCAGTATTGGGCGTAAGTGTCGACGATATCCTTGTCGGTGGTGGCGCCGGTTACGGCAAAGTCATAGGTCAAGATGGTCGATGTGTTGAGGGTGCTCGTGAGATGGCCGACCCAGTTCAGGCCGCTAGAGGTGGTCTGACCGGGCAGGGAGGGGTTGCCGAGCGGGTTTCCGGCAGCCGGGAGGGTGCCGCCGGGCCAGAAGCCAACAGTAGAGTAAGAGTCGCCGCTGCGGGGAGGGTATCCGCGTCAGATGGATCTTTCTCTCTTATCATTCCGCAGATATGGAGAGTACGGAACGGGGATGCGGGTGACTTACAAGACTATCAGGTTCTTAGAACTGTTGGTCTGTCTCGGGAAGACGGCCGGGGTGGGACTGGCAAAGGACAAGGACAGGCCGGCTGCCAGGGAAAGGGCTTTGGTGAAGGACTTCATTTTGGGCCAGGGATTGTAATGTTATGTACCAGCAAAATATCAACAAGAAGAATGATAGTAAATAGGAACGAGAAGCGAATGAGAGGCTGAGAAACCGTGCAGGGAACACCAACGAGAGACGGGACGACTGAGAATGGTACAGGTGAACAGATCAGATGGCCGGCCCGCGTGGGACGCGCAGGGCTTTACATATTATACTGGCGGCTTGGCTCCCTCCTTCGACCCGTTGACCAAGAATCCGAACAAGAGAGTTCGGCACCAAGGGGGCTCTTGATGAAAAAGACTCCGTCACTGTGCGTTTGCAGTACATTGAATTCTCCATACTCGGCCAACGTGCTTTTCAATGCGATTGGTGGAACTCCCAATTGAAGCTCGGGCCTGGGCGGTGCAAATTCCAAAAGGGGCGAGATTGCAGGCGCTCCGCTGGGGCATGCGGGGCCGAAACGCGCCATCGAGCTCCTTTTTGGTGTTTGAACTCGATAGATGTTGGTCTTAGCCGCTGCATCTTGGTCTCTATTTGGTCTGCTGGTGCCGCTGACTTTGGGGTGCCGATCTGGCAAGTTTCCTCCTTAGACGAGTTGCCAGCTTGAAATGGTTCAACAAAAAGAGACTCTGACGCGAGTTGGAGGGACAAAACATAATAAGCTCATCCCTCACCATCTTGCTTAAAGGCTTGAGTTTAGACCAGTGGCCCCCACAATGCTGAACCAAGTTAGGGCATATGCATAACTCCAAGTCAAAGTAATTCTGGATGCTGTAGGAACCGAACGTTCCCACAACCTGATGAAGATTGTGCAGTGAGAACTCTGTGATTTTGCATTTGGCTCAACTCCTAGACCCTATTGATATACGAAGAAAGGAAGATTGAGTGATGACTGCATCCTGCAACTGGCTTAGGTTCCTTGGTAATAACCTAAAATGCGGGATCGGCGTTCTCCAATAATTGCACAAAGTACTCTTGGAACCAAGTTCCAGCTTCCGGGGCTGGAATGACGGATGATCCTGAGCTGCACTTCTCATCATAGCGAGCCGCAGTTGAGTCGCTGGTACCATCAGCTTCACCACCGGGCTTAACCCAGACAAAGGCATCCAGGGTATCGATGCCAGTCTTAACATTCGGTCTCGTGCCGAAGCCAGTCTCCTTGATATTGCACCAGTCACCCCAAATCTGGCGTCCCGTCGGCTGCTTGCCGCTGCGGCCCTGGTCGACGAGGTAGTTTGCCGGGTACCCAGCCTCCTTGAGGAACGGGGTCAACGCGGCGTGGAACTTAGACTCGTCCCACTGCTTGTTGCTCTCTGCGTACGCCGGCGCGCTCGTGAGGTTCCAGCCGTTGTAGTTTGACACGTTTGTGACCAAGCCTCGAACCGCCTTGGGAGAGCCTGCCTTCTTGTACAATTCGCTGTACAGCTCGGCAGTGGGCTTCAGGTTGGCTTCCCAGCCCAACCAGCCCGCGTGGCCCGCATCCACGTAGATTGCGACGTTGTCGAGGTTGAGGGTCTTGAAAGCGTAATCGGTGCCTTCCTTGTACGCATCGGCTGCGCCAGTGCACTTCTGCACGTTCATGTTGGTGATGAGGTTGGCCAATCCATCAGGTTCTACTGATCGTCAGCATGCCGCAAACATGTAGCCCCAATCGACATAGCAAAAACTTACCGTAGACAAATACTTGGCGAACATCCGACTACTCCTTGGCAAGAGCGGCAATAGGGTCGATATACTCTTTCTTGTACTTCTCGACACCGCCGTCGGCAATGACGAGCTCGCCGGCAGAGGCCTTGGCAGAGCAATCACGGTCCGGGAAATTGTAGATGACATAGGTGCCAGCGTACGGCGGGTTGGCACCCTCCTGGTTCAGCTTGCGGATCTGCGCCAGAGTACTGTTCATGAGACTGATCTTTTCGCGTGTATCACTAGGGTAGTTGTTAGCAGAGGCATGCAAAGCATGATAGCATGATTCACACACAGCCATGCGAACGTGGGCACCTCGGCAACCTTGGCTGCCTTCGCTGCGAGATCGCCAGTGAGCTTAGGGACGGCGAGATTCGTGATCTCGTCTGTGTAGTAGGGGTTGGGGAAGAGCTGTCTATCCGCCAGCGGGTTTCCCTCGTAGGATGCGACGTCACGCAGCTTGAGGGGAGTAGCTAGTGCCGCCGGCGCAAGCGCTGCTGCGAGCATGAGATGAGCGACAACCATGTTGAAATAACGAGTGAAAAAATGGGTGAAATGAGAAAAGAATGTAAAACCCTAAACGGAAGTTGCGTGGTGAGATATCGTGGCAGTACCGTAGAGTAAGGCGGGCGTATCTCCCGTCTTATACAACACGATTGATTCCGCCAAGCTGGGGACATAACCCTCAACCCCGAAGTTTATTATTCCTTGATTGCTGGACCGGACAAGCGAAGCAAGGTCCAAGAGTTCCGGAAACGCACCGGTCCTTCATCTTAGAGGTGAATCCCCCAGAATATCGGGACAATCGCTAAGGTTCTCCGTGCTGCGCTTTCTACTGCATAGTAAGCCTTAGACGTTACTTTTTCGGCCGTGTGAGATACAATGGCGCCGGGGCTCGTCCGGCGGGGATGATGCTTGGAACGCGGCCCAGTGCATTGGCGCCGAGCCGTTGGGACCTGGCGAGTTTGCCGGATTGGGCAAACCTTGGGATTTGCTGCACAAAGCTGGACAGGCCGCAGCCTAGGCCATGAAGATCGTACGGAGAGTTTGGCTCCGAAAGACCACGTGAAGTCGACTCAACCTCCTCAGGAGTCAGGGGTGTCGGCAGTGCTGACCGCTCATGTCCTCGAATCTCTCCATTCTCCGCATGGTTCGGATGACAACATTCGACTGGGGAATTTGTTGGACTTGAAAGAGTGAATTTGGGGGCCACCAGGTTGATTAAGGGGAGTATTGCCTCCAAGCAAAGTGACCTGTTTCAGAAGGGTGCCCTTGTTCAAGATGAGATAACTTTGTTTGTTGGAGAAAACCTTCTTTGCTGGAATAAAGTGAGGGGAGGGAGAATCGTCTGTTCTAGCGTCATGATTGTGGGGGCTTCCACGGCATTTGAGTCAATGACGGGTGGCTACGTTGCAACTTCGATGCGGAAGAATTGAGGCTAAATTTGTCCGTCAAATAACTCTGAGGGAGTAGCGTCATGTCGAGAGTGTTCAACTTTCCCGACCTTTGTATCACAAAGTTGCTTGAGCTGAAGTTAGGCCGGACGACATGTTCCACATCATTCATCTCATAATGGCTAAGTTCTCCATGAGAAGTTGAGCGACGATCGTCTTGTTTCTTGTTCCCAGCGTACTGCATCAGATCGCCTCCCTGTTCGGATGACTTGCCCGCATTTCCCCTTCTTGATCGACAAAGTGACACAAGCGCACGGGTCACACATAACGCCGTGCGGTCTATCTGTGGTTCTGTGGAAACGTCAAACCAGCAACTCACGCCTACAATTGAGGGTTCCTTGTTTACGCTATCTGCCACTTATATGAATGCTTATGGGGGCATATCTTCGATGAGGAGGTTTGAGATTGTGGTAGAAGTGGTACACGAATCGGCGCGACCACGAGAATGAACGCTCGATTACCCTCGACCGATGCACTGGCGCAACGGCTGATAACGTTTCAGGGTGAAGGGAGGTTTGCACCATGCTAGTGACCAAAGTCGACGCCTCACAAAATTCAGATGCGGATACATAATAAAAACAACACATCGAACAACCATTTTGGTCTTGCAATTAGAAAACCCGTTGGCCGCGCCTTGAACTCGGCATCCGTATATGGATGGACTTCTTCATGGCAAATTTGGACGAAAGCTTGGATTGGGGAGGGTTTAGGGTTATCGTACACGTCTGATGATCATCTAGAAGCGCTTTTGAATCAGATCCGAGTCTCATCATATTCGTGGATACAGATTTTATAGTAATGAAAGCTTTTCATTGCGACTTCCACGACACCGGGTTAATATCATTGGTTGAGGTATGTTCTCCAGTCTCCACGCACTTCAGCACTGAGCAATGCCTTCAGTCTTAACTTCGATCGTGCAATTCTGCGGAGTTCCTCAAACATGGACTGGATTGAGCAAAGTCACACCAGTCAATTGAGCAACACAAGTAGGCTCACTGAGGATGACTTCTCCGCGAGGACTTGCGCGGCAAAGGGTTGCTTACTGAGATCCAGACATAATGAGAACCAAAGTGGGCAGGATCGGAAATGAAATGGGAAGATGTGCATGTCTCGCCACGTTTTGTCCCTTAGAAGAGTTTGATGTGTATGTAGGCCATTCGCCCAAGCTAGGACATGGCGTGGACGACTGACCACTTGCAACCAACACATGTAACAAGCCTCTGGAAGGTGACCGAGCCCACGGTGCGTGCCGGGCCTTTGCCTTTGTAGGCTACCAAGTGGAAATATTCTACATCGTACCGCTGGTGGTAAATTCACTTTGTCAAGTTTTCCCTCGATCCGTCATGATTTGTCAACTCGACGGGCTAGCTCGATGTTAGTCCCGGAGTTCCGCACCAGGCCCCTCTCCGCCGGCCGAGTTCACTTGCCCACGATGGGAAAAGATAAGATGATGGATCCATCTGATTAGATTTGGCAAGTAGAGGGCCCAGTTAGCGCTGCTCCTCCGATGTGCACTTCCATGAACTTAAGTGCATCTGTGACTGGATCCGTGCATCGTCCCGAAGAATATTGACTTAGACACACCACCAGCATCGTGGGACCCGATGATCCCTGCCTCGCTTTTTCAACGGCGGCTGCGAACTTTTTTCTAGTTGTGAACCAGGTTGTTAGTTTGTTCAAGGTACCAAATCATACAGCCAGCCAAAGCCGCACGGTAGTAGGGTACATCTCAAAGACGTTTGCGGGCTTACACGAAACTACATATAGCTCCAACGACTCTTGCCACAAATACTTTGAATCCGCGCCAAATGTCATCTATTGTACATCCAGCCAAGGTCGAAATCTGTGAGCCATCGTCATGACGAGCAACAACAAGGAGTCGGGTGTCTTCTCGGACGACACCCACATTCCCAAAGACGGCACAATCTCCCCTTCAACAGATCGTGGAGAGCCTCAAATTTCCTCTGTCGGCGAGATCTTACAATCACAGGGTGTCGCCCGCATGGAGGCAGTCTACCGTGAAGCCAAGCAGAACCGCATCTCACTCTACCTCGTCGGGCTTTCCGTCCTGGTCTGCGCCTGGGCCTATTCCCTGGACAGCTCGACAACCTCCTATTACAGCATCGACGCCTCGTCCTACTACAAACAGCACTCGTCTATACTCTCTACCCTGTCGATCGCCACGAGCATTATCTCGGCCGTCTCGAAGTCCTTCATCGCCAAGATCTCCGACATCACATCTCGCCCGTACACGTACATCGTCACATTACTCTTCTACGTCATCGGCTATGTAATCGCTGCCTCAAGTACATCAATCTCAGCCTACGTTGTCGGCGAAGTATTCGTCTCCATCGGATCCTCGGGCCTCGACCTCACCAACGACATCATTGTCGCTGATTTGACCCCCCTGGAATGGCGCGGCTTCGTCAGCTCACTACTCTCGGCCCCCTTCATCATTAATACCTGGTTCGCCGGCAAGATTGTTGACGCGATGCAGGCTCGGAATCAGTGGAGATGGGGCTATGGCATGTTTGCCATCATCATGCCCGCTGCTCTCGGTCCCGCGATTGCTACGTTGCTGTACCTCGACAGAAAAGCGAAGAAGGACGGTCTCGTCAACCTGGCCTCTTCAAACGCGGCACGTCGTGCTGCGAGAGGGATGGCTAAGGAGAAGGGATACAGTGGACCGCATGGTGCTATTGTGGCACCAGCTGCTGAGCCGGCGGGCACTTGGATGGAAGGCCTCAGGCGAAACCTGATCGAAATCGATGCGCTTGGTCTGATACTCTTGGGCTTCGGCTGGAGCTTGCTCCTTTTGCCATTCAGCCTCAAGACCTATGCGGAATATGGCTGGAGGAACCAATCACTCATTGCTATGATGGTGGTGGGATGTATCTTGCTCATCGCATATGTGGTTTACGAGATTAAGTGGGCCAAGGTACCGAGCGCACCTCGTAGATTGGTCATGAATAAGACCTTCTTGATGGCCATTGTTATCGATTCTTTCTACATGTGTAAGTATTATGAATGAAGCTTCTGTTAGACCCGGTTCACGCTCAGTTTCGTTAACATCTTGTAGTGGCTGGCAACATGCGTGGTTTGTACTGGTCATCTTACGTCTACATCGCGAAGCCTTGGTCCTCGCAAGACTGGGTGTACTACAACAACACACTGACACTTGCGCTCTGCATCTTTGGCATGGTCGCGGGTCTGCTTCAGCGATGGACTCACCGTTACAAGATGCTGCAGATTTTCGGCCTTTGCATCAAAATCATCGGCATAGGCATCATGATCGATGGTCCCCGAGCCACCAACTCCACCGCCCCAATGGTCATCTCACTGATCATGGTCGGTGCCGGCGGTGCTTTCTCGGTTGTCGGCTCTCGCGTGGCATCTCAGGCTTCCGTGCCGCACCAAGACGTTGCCTTGGCCATAGCATTGCTTTCACTGTGGTCCAAGATTGGCAGCTCTATTGGCAGTGCCATCGTCGCTGTCATTTGGGCCGACAAGATGCCTAAACTCTTGCGCGAGTTCCTCCCCGCAACAGCGACTGACAAGGATGTCAAGACTCTCTTCGGCAGCGTCCGCACCATTCGCACCAAGTATGCATTCGATGACCCGATGAGACAAGGTGCTATCGAGGCGTACCGACGGACATTGTATTACTGTCTGGTGCCAGCTTTAGCCCTCGCATTCGTTCCTCTCATTGCTGCGCTCTTCCAGACCAACTTCTACCTGGGCAAGCAGCAGAATGCTGTCACTAATGTCGGAAACGATGGTCAAGTTTTAAAAGAGGAACATCGCAACCCAGAGGCTTTGCCCCCACCAAAGAACAAGAAGGAGGCGTTCCTGAGGTTCTGGGCCGGACACAAATAATGATTTTTTTTTTTTCAGGGGCGGATGACAACTGGTTTAAGTGTTCTCGGATGGAAACCACCAGACATTAGATTATGTTACTCGTGGAAACATGATCAAACCAGCAGTTTATATGATTGAGAGACTGCCCTCTAACTTGCTGGGATATTTTGCCCGTTGGCATATTGCATGTTCCCTGCTTCCCAATACTCTTTGTGAATGTAAGCACAGATTAAGTCCAGTTGTAATGCCAAGTCGTAGAGTCTCGCTTTCAGATGATTAGCATGGCAGAGTGTCTCTCTTATCTGACAAGGCCAAGCTTTAGCGATAGGTTGCCAAGCACACAGTCTTTGGTCATGAATCCTGGACAGGTACGCCATACTCTCTGCAGAACCACTGCACTTGCCGCAGTCTTAAGCATTGCCAACACGGACGGGTAAGACTTCACAGATAAACCGCTCCCACTACTGTGGGTCGCGTTCTTACTGGATAGCCCTGGGCATGGTTGACCAATCTCTCCCAGCCAGTCCTCGCTTGTTCAACTCAAGCTTTCCAACTTGGCGCAAAACCCATGCTCTTATTGGGCTGTCACGAAGCGATTGTGGAGGGGTGCCCTCGCCCGACTAGATCGTTGTGCCACTGTCCACGTGCTGTTCGAAGCTTTGGGGGCGTTCCAGCCGCCCGGCGCTAGCTGCTGTTGTAAAAGTACGCCCGTATTGATGCATAGCAATTGGTGTTTGTTTTGCTCAGTCTGCCTAGTTGCCCTGGAATGAAGCGATCCCCGGGCTGAATCGCTGGTTGACCACATGGCCAAGAGGACGGGAGACTCGCCACATGACGTGGCCTGGATTCTCGCAAGGCGCAAGGAGATAAGGTTATCAAGTCCAAACCTTCATCTCACAATTCATGAACCCACGACAGAGATCGGCTATAGAATGGCATGGTCCTCCCAACCGTGAACGTGAGAGTAAGCATCAGGCCTGACGAGAAAGTCGACGAGCTTCTACCCCACATTCCCCCGCACTCACCCCTGACCTGATCATCACTCCACCGCTGGTCATCTAAAGAGCGGGAGACCACCAGTCCGCGATGCCTTCCTTTTTCAAGAGGTCCTCCAAGGCCAAGGAGAAGGAGGCCGAGGAAGAGAAAGCCAAGGCAGATCGCCCAGCAACTCCACCTCCCGCCTATGGAGCTGCACCAGACGAGCCTCCGCCATTCGACGACCAGCCGCCACCATTCGAAGCCAACGGCGGGTTCAACGGGAAGAAGCCCTACACCGAGCAGGATGTCGCTAATCTCACGAGCGCCTTCAGCTCGCTACGGCTCGGTACTCAGAGAGATCCCGACGTGGACTCCTGTCTCGCGCACCTGAAGCTTCTCTATGCCATTGAGACGCTGAAGGAAGATGTCGGTTACAGCGATGGCCTATGGGACTTGTGGGACTCGCGGGCCGGGGTCAAGGACAGTGACGAAGGTTCCAGCAAGGAAGTCGAGAATCGGTTGAAGGAAGTGCTGTCGATGTTGCGCGAGAAGAGGTGGGCGGTCTATCTGGCACGGGCGGCGGATCGGTATCAGACTTGGTGGAAGACGCTCTCGGGAGGTCGCTTGCGTGAAGCCGAGATGAAGGATTTCGATAAGTTCTCCGACAAGTACTTGAGCTTCCCTGAATGGGATGAAGACTATCCATGGACAATGGATAACCTACCACCACTAGGTAAGCGGCCTGGTGCATTTCACTCAGCTAAATGATTCGACGTCATCTCACAGTTACCAGATGTCTTGATGATTTTTCATGCGCACATGCTGAATCCCAGAGCTTTTCTGGAGGACACTATGCGCTGGAATCTCCGTGAGTTCTGGACGACTGGAATGCCATGGGCCCAAGTCAACGAAGTCATTGACTCCAAGTTCAACTACGAGGTTTCCAATGTGGCCAAGTTGAACTGGGAGAAGGCAACTGGAAGGGCATGGAACAACCTTGACGAACCACTGGAGAAGGAAATTGAATGCCCTGCATGCAAGCAGGCTACTCTTGTTCCTTGGAGCACATGCGGCTTACCAGAGCTGTACAAGGGTGAAGAGTGAGTTTGATTATGACCGAGATCCTGTTCTACCCCGCGGATTTTACTGACTTCTTTGTCAAAGACGGCCAGGGTTGGTTGGGCAAGGACTCGGCGATGGAGAGTTTTCTCAATTGTGCACAGCAGGCTGCAACACCGTCATCACGCACCGTCTACTCTGCGTTGCCAAGCTGATCAATGATGCGGAGCTCTATCTCAACGAGGGCATCACCCTCCCCAGCACTCTCCTCGACCCAAAGGTTGGCATGCCCGTGGCCACCGAAGCAAAGCTCAAGCACGTTACATTTCCCAACAGACTGATTGGGCAAGGGATTTCCAAGGAGCTACTACGACTCATCAATCCCGGTCAAGCAAAGACGCCGACGATGAAGGACGTACGAGACCTGATCTCTGCTGCACTGGCCGATGATGATGCCTTTGCAAGAATCCAGGGGGTAAGGCCAGCCCCGTACAGTAAGAAGGACGGGTCGGGCGGTAGGTTGATCACGCGAACGGAACGCTTTCAGAGCAGCAAGATGATGTCTAGATACTGGGAGAATACCTCCATCTTCGCTCTTGACCTTGTTGGAGCTACGATGCGACAGGCGGTATTCATTGGCAAGATGTTCAACGTCAGTATTTTTACTACCTATACTTCCAACCCCTGAGAGTCCTAACAGGAATTACCTGCAGATTGATTGGCTGCACAGTCCTAATGCGCGTGGTACAATGGACCGACTTATCCAAAAGTACCAGCGCTTCATGCTCATCATGACCGAGTACCCCTTGTCTCTGACGGTACCTACGCTGGATGTGGACCTCGCATGGCATACTCACCAGTTGGCCCCGAGAGCTTACTACAAGTTCTCGACATACAACAGTGCCACGAGTACCAGCAAAGAGGCTAAGTTCATCGACCACAATGACAAGATCGACGAAGACCAACTTTCCCACTCGTTCGAGTTGACAAGCAAGACGTACTTGGAGAAGTTCAACGAGGTCTACTCGGAATGCACATGCTGGTACTGCGAAGGTTCGTATAATCTGGTTACTCAGCCCAACTTGTGCCATGGTTCATGGAAAGAAATGCCTGCTGATGACTTTCAATAGCCGTACGCGCAAAGATAACAATCGACAGCTCCTCCGTGTTTGGCAAAAGCAAGCCACAAAAAGGCATGTTGGACAACGACGCACCCTCTCCCCCTGCGCTGAGTCCAAAATACTGATAATGCCTACCTCTAGCCATCGACAGCTTCGATAAAGCAACATCCACTCAAGTCTGCACTCCTTCCAACTCAATCCACATCTCTGCACATAACTCCGTTCGCACAGACGGGTCTGCTACTCACAACATAGCGCATCGCCAACTCCGCGCAGCCTGGAGAATGCGTCTCGATGACGCCTACGAGCGCGCAAAGAAACGCTCAGCTAAACGAGGAAAGACTCTGCCGCCAAAGGAGGAGTTTTATAACAATTGGGGCAAGATTCACCATAGAGACAGTCCCTACAACTACCCTGCGTACCTCATCGGCGGGGTCTATCCTGCTGGAAACCCCGGTGTCATTCATGGGTCTTGGGCCGACTGCGCTCAGGGGCTTTGCGGCTCGAACGACATAGCTGCTGGGGGATGTGGTGGCGCTGGTGGTTGCACCAACATGGCTGTAAGTTGTTTGCCTTCGCTCCTTCCTGGGCTGAGTGTCTAATATGGTTTGATATCAGGGGTACTGGTCCGGAGCAAATCGTCAAGTTGGGGGTAAGTACATTCACATCCTAGTTTTCCTGCTTATCTACAAGCTCTGACGTCTCGCGATGAACAGGCTGCGCTCATGGAGCGGGAGTGGTTGGCCTAGGTTCGAGTGGAGGATGCGGCGGCGGCGGCGGTGGCGGCGGATGTGGTGGTGGTGGCGGTTGAGTCAGTCCTTGCACGAACTCAGGCTCCAGTCTATCGAGCGATGTTATCGTGTTATCACGGCTTAAGACAACAGACACATTGTTTATTTACTTACCTTATCATCTCTCGCGTCTCATCCCTCTCTTTACAATGTCACTCATAAATAGCGCCAAGGTTTGCCCGTAATAAAGAAGGTTTAGTACGATAATAGAACATTCAGCATATCATTTTCAACAAATATAAAAAAAGTAACATCGGAGGCTTTGGGCATCTGAAACCACTTCCAAAGGTCGCACTTTGGTCAAGTCTTACCATGTCTTCAGTTCATCCAGTGGGTTCGGTTTTCCTTGCGCAGCGACCGAGAATCGAACCGCGGAGTATCGACTTCTGTTGAACCAATAGCTGAGAGAATCACTTCTCAGCCACCCAGCCGCTCTAATGGAAGAACAAGGCCCTTTATGCAATGACGTAGGTCACGCGAACGACAGGAGTTGAAGAGAAGGAGCGAGGGTGAAAGGGGTGGGTAAAAGGTGAAGTGAATCACATCCTTTTCTCACTTCGGGCGTGTGGCGGGCGGTGAGACGCGAGGTGGTTTACCGACGCGTACCTGCCCTCTATGGTGATATTTTTCGCTCACCGACGTTCACCGAGAGCCACTGACTTTCATGCTCCTCAATCTGCCGCGCCTTCTTGATTTTCCACCAACATAACTACATCAAGCCTGAAACTTCATCTACCTATCTAGGCTCTTTTCCTTCGCTCTCAACATAACGACCTATCACCATCTGCCCCTTATCCAACTTCTCGTCTTACTAAATCACCCCTGATAGCATAAGTCGAACAATCCCGTCTCTGCTTATCGTCTGATCTCCAACTTTGCCCAAAAGCTCACGATGCCTCAATCACAGCTTCCCACTATCGATCCCGAAACGACCTCAGCTATCGCTGGTTCGGCCAACCATGAGATCAAACAGGCAGAGAAGGGCGCGAAGGGCAAGACCAAGCCCAAGCCCAAGCCCAAGACCCTCAAGCGAGTCCTTCCTTCCGGCCCAGGCTTCAAGATGTACCAGAATGCCGCCGATCAAGACCTCAAGATCCTTGAAAGCATAGACGAGGGCATGGCTTTCAAGAACGCGCTCCGCGCCTTGACCCCCAATCTCGACAAGGAAGCCGTTGACCTCGCCATTGCCAAGCTCTTCCTCGAAGCCGACAGACTCTCCGGTTATAAAGAGCATATCACCGAGAACAGCCCCGGCCCCTTCTCCTCGCCGCCAAGCAAGCCCCCTGGATCGCCGCTGCCAAGAAGGATACGAAGCCCACCGTCGCGGCCAAGGTCATGATATGCCTCTACGAGGCTCGCAGAATCGTCGTCAAGTTCTCCCACTATAGACAGCAACCCATCGAGGATTACGCGAAGGGGACGGCCACTGCCCTGGCTATCGACAAGTTCCGCAAGGAGAAGCCCTGCGATGAGCCCGAGGAGATATTTACCGACTTCACCGAAGAGCAGCGCAAGAATATGATGGGCAAGACCATCCGACGTGAGAAGGCTGACTGGGGTGGAAAGCACGTGGATGAGAACTGCGATACTCAGATAGTGTGGCCGACGCCAAGGAGTTTGCGGAGGCTCAGAAGGCGGCGCAGGCCGAGTTCCGGGAGGCTCTGGAGCAGAAGATGAAGGAGCCCGGAATCACGGGCACCGCTGGCTTCCTGGCTTAGATTCCAGATGAAGGCCCATTTTCGTCGTCTAAAAACTGTTGAGGGTCAATAAGGAACCCCCCTAGCCTCCGTCATCATTACCTCTCCCTACTTGATAATGCGATAATAAGCGAGAGCAACAAGAACTGGGTAATGAGCAGGGATAAGTAGACGAGACCAAGCCACATATCTTGACATCAAATAGCTCATTGTTAAAGGATGGCAGTCGCCTACCGCAACGCCGGCAGCAAGAACCGAGCCGACCGCGGACCGCTACAACGGATATCCCATCATCAACGAGGAAACGATCGACCTTGACGACACATTTGACGAGGTGTCGGGCATCCATGATAACGATTTCTTAATTATCTTTTAGAGGCTCAAGGATTATTTCGTTCCATTGAAAAGTTTTCAGCCCGGATTACGGTCGATGAGGCTCAGATGGCCAAAATTTCGCCAGTACTATAATTAATTGGCGTTTGAAAGAGCTCATAGACACGCGGCATCTGTTCTCTGCTATGGTCATTATTTGATCAACGTCGTCCACATGAATGACTTGGCGGCATAAAGATCACGTCTACTGGCATTTCTAAAATCAGGAATCAAAGGTTCGAAGCTCTTTCTTTGGAACTCGCCAAGTCACCCTATAACAAAGCAGATATCAGAAAACCTGTTCCCTCTTCCTAGACTTAGCCCGGAGTCTCCTTGTCTCGATACTCCTCGAGTTTAACACTTGAAACAGCTACTTTGTCTGGTTTCCCTTCGACGCCCCCGCAATCAGTCGGTCTTGGACTGAATCTGTGTTCTTGATGAAGGTATCCAACTGAGGAGCCGGCGAAGGCTTGGGGGGCGGTGGGCTTTGGTTTATGTAAGCCAACTAGCTCGAATCACATTTGAGGATAATACTTGCGCGTTTGGCATCTCGACTCTGGGAAGGAATTCGGTAATTCGGCGGGTAGGGGGGCTTCAGTTCTTGTTGAGATATAGCATGTAGCTTGACCTATGCTCAAAGTATGTGTGGCAGACTATGATTTCGAGTGAAATTTAGATTTCCTTTTCTTGCTGTGGAAGCTTTTCATGGTTTCTCATGGGATCTTGATGGGTATTTATGGTTTTTGGTTGCCGTCAAGTATTCTTAGCTCTAAACCCGAAGTACAGAGAACCCAGACGTTCTCTCCAAAGCTGATGATCTCTCATTCGATCTGCAAGATAGCTTACGAACTATTTCTAATCACTGATCACCTGCTCATCTTTGAGCTTATGTGTGGTACACCCCACGGCGACACAACCTCCCATCGTCGCTCAACTCCACTGCTGCGGCCGGGACAGGCCCAAACGGCCGAGCACAACCGGGCCCGTTCTGCCTCCCCCAACCGCCAGCTACTCGGGATACGCAGCCAACCACGACGTCTCAGACCCCGGTCTCTTTGAGGCTCTGCGACTGTGCCCGTGAGTTGGCGCGCCGCTCCTTGTTCCCATCACTCTACCATCATCCCTCCGGCGGTTGGCTATTCTGCAGCTTCCTCCACCCCCCTTCGTCTCGCTTGGCACATGATAGGCGCCATGGGCCGGCACGAGGACGGGCGGTAGACGGCTCGGGTGCAGATGCTCTTCGGCTAATGTCTTTCACGACTACACAGTACTATCAGGCTCCCGTCTCTTTTCACTGCATTCCAGGGTATCATCCGCCACTCCTCCTGCTCTGGCCCCCTTCTCAGTTCCCTCGTCTTATCCACTTCCTCACCTCTCTTCACTGTAAGTCTTTTGCATGATGGTAAGGTAGCTCTATCTCAGAGATACATACGTTGCGTCCTTTAGCACATGATAGCTGGGTGGGAGGGGACAGTGAAAGCACCAGTAACGACGATTATAGTTGAAGGATCATCACATTTCAATCTGGCATCACTGAGCATCCACGTTCAGACCTTCCGGCAGATTTTCAGTGCAAAAGCAGCAATTATTATGGCTGGTTTACTGATCGTTATCAGTCGCGCTGCGGTTAACCCGTCAACCTCTCATATTCCCTCGCCCATGTCCAGCAGATCTCAATTTCAAGGGCAGAATGATATTTCCAAACTTCATAACAAGAGGGTATCAGATAATTCCACGTTATTTCTTTCATTCTCAATCTTCAGATGGATCCGTGCTGGGTTTCCATCTCTGCAGCTGCGACCTGACGTGTTCACTGTGTTTCCCCTCCCATGGCGATGTACTCAGTCACGCTTGTGCTGCCGATATATTCACTAAGCGTGGTTGGTTCAGTTTCGGTTTCCCTGTCGATGGTTTAGTTGGTACTCCTTCAGGCCGAATTGTATCATAATAGGGAAGAACTTACTCAGGCATGATGGATGCGATATGAGTCAAGATTTGGGTTGACACTTGAGTCAAGGCTCGGCGGCTCGACGACGGAACTAACTTGTGGAGTAATATCTTGAACAAGATTTCAAGTGAAGGTATTTCTAGAAGCCCAGCTTCGGGAAGTTTGGTTTGTTTTTGTTTGCAGTGAACGAGTCTCGTCGAGATGGGAAACACCCCTAGTATTTATACCTTCACTTTCCGAGCAGCATTTCCAAGACAAATGGGTCACACTTGTCTCTTTCGGACCTCATTTGATACTCATCTTCATCTGCAGTCCACCGGGCATCATAGCGTAAAGTAGCTTACGAGCCAATTTCTAATCTATGGACCCGGTCATCTGCTCCATCCACAGAGCACGCGTTACGTTCCACTCCCGGAGGGTATAGATGCTAGTCCACCCCCTCCCGCGGCCGCACCTGAGACCTTCAAGTCCGCAAGCGACCTCCACCACATGCCGTTTCACCCACCGCAAACCGCCAGACGACCCGAAGGGTGAAGAAATCATTAGATTGTCCAACCGCATTGTCCGAGATTCCGTGAGCTCTGAGGCTCTGCGTATATGTTGTAGCTGGAAGACTGTGCTTCCATACTTCGAATCCTTCTCTCGGCGTCGGATTCCTAATTGGCCCGTCTACCAGCTTGCCAGCCCTCCTCCATCCTTCGGTTGAAAGCTGCGATAAGCATGGGTGCCACGGATAAACGATCGGATCATGGGACATCAAAACGACGGAACTCGGGTAAGGGAAGACGGGAGAAGCAACCGGCTACCCTGGCAGTATGCCAACGACATTTCATCCTCGACGTCTCCGACCTTCCTTGCACAGCAATTTAGCGCCAATCTCCCTGGTCTCCCTCCATCTGCCCTCTCTTTCTCTCTCCCTCTTTCTTACCTGTCCCAATTGCCATGGCCCGGGGGGACATACTGAATTCAGCATAGATCCGCCTTTGCTTCTGTGTATGCATGCAAGTTTTCTGCACCAACCAACAGGTGTTCCGCCAAACTATCCAATCAACCAACCGAACTTTATGCACGAAAGAGGGGGTCTCTAGGGTTATGATGTGCTTCAGCCTTCATGCCATGGTTTTTGAGTTCTCTCATCAAGTCGCTAGGGGCGCATGAAATGGCGTCTGGTACGATGTGGGACCAGCCTGCAGGCCACTATCCGTTGCTGTCATGCTGAGTATCATCCTTATAGGGTAGGTCTTGTACGACGTGAATTTCCCCTTGAGGTATGGCAGAGGAAGAGTGATACCATGCATCTTGCGGAGGTGGGTGAGGTAAGTAAGGTAGGTGAGCTTGGTGTGGAAGCGACAAGTGTGAACTTGACATCGCGGGGCCGATGATCTGCGATGAGGAGTGACAGTCACCTTTCCTATGCAAGGATACGTCCACCTCTAATGCCAAAGACAGCAGAAGACGTGGAAATACCAACGACACCGGTTGAACGACTGATTTTGGCTCGTTGATTCCAAAGACCTAGATTCGATCGAAAGAACCGGTGTGACAATGCGGGATGAACGGTCAACCAAAGATCCAATCTGCGATCCACGATATACGATTGGGCGCAAAATAGGGTCGGCACTGCTTTCAAAGGCGAAAGTCTGCTTGGCCTGCCGTCTCGAGTTAACAGCCGGACGGAACTTTGATCAAATCATTCAAGGGAACGGCAGGACTCAACGTCATGATGGTTCGATCTGCGTCCACGAGACCGAAGCCATCCGGGGAGGTAGTGGTCCCCGATGTCACGTATGAAGAGGAGGGGGAGAAAGCCACCAGATAATAGCCGTATGCCGTCTCTCTGTTGACCATTAAGTGACGATGGACGGACGAGGATCAAGGATGGAGGAGAGGGCGCCAACGCGAGCGCGTACGCGATGCAAGTTTAAGCGGTGCCAGACTCTCGCCGTCTCCGAGGACAGTCTGGACAGAGCCTCAACGTTCGGACACGAGACCAGTAGTCGATGAAGAAAAGGATTTACGCAAAATCATTGCGTATAGTGCGTGGGGGAGCATTGCTGACGGGCTTGACACTGGTTCGATGGATCAGGAAACAGCAACTAAAAATCAGCATCACGGAAACACATGTCCTACCTTCCCCACGACTGGAATATCTTTGTGGGACACCAAAAGCCCGAGTTTGAGCCTACCGCAAGCTTTCTGACGAGCACGGCTTAAGCGGATTTACGCTATCAGATCATAATATCTTGAGCCAATCATCGAAAGGGGAGGTTGGGAAGGGGGGTGTAAGCCCCTTCTAGGTTAAGTAGGAGGGGGAAACAGAAAGATGGATGGTTAAGATGAAGGCCGCATTCACTGCGGCCTTAGAGGCAGAGGCAAGGATCATTATGCATTCACCGTGGTTCCAACACATCCCAGTATACCTCCTGTGGGGTTGCGTGTCGTTGAGTGCTAAGGATCGGGGGAAACCACCTCTTTCAGACAACTTGAGAGTGCGGCTCTGCTCCAGAGCCTCTCCCTCTGGCCCGAGAAGTTGTCAGGGAGAATCCGACCCCCCAATTCTCAGGCGACCTCGACTCTTCTGCTGGACCACGTTTGCAGTGAATCGTGGTTCGCCTGGCAGGGTGCGGCTGCCCTGACTCGACAAACTCCTGCAACGGGTGCCCCGGATGCCTTATATTCTGCACGATAACTAATGCTCTCGTCCCGTCCACCAATTCAGATCCATCAGATCTCATTCTTCTCATCGCGTAAAGTATTTTTTTAAGGTTTTTTACGATGATGTGTGGTGGTAGAATACCAAAAAACCGCTGACCAGAGTCCTGGGTGAAGTGAGATGACTATGCGGGTGCTACACCACGAGTTGTTGTCTCTCGTCTGACATATTGAGTGTCAGACCATAATCAGACGAGCCAAACAGTAGGCAAGAGAGCATATTCTCATTCATCAACTGACCAGTATCTCTAGACTCTACGACAGTCACCGACGACCACAGCATCAAAGCTTATGTCTCTCATCACCCTCCTCCTCCGCCTCCCTAGCCCTCTTCGCCTCCTTCT